TGGGGTGTTGAAATAGGAGAATTGCCAAGTTCAAGGCCCTTCTGTAGCTTAGTGAGGCCCTAAGCAATATAGTGAGACCTTGTCTCAAAATGAAAAAGGAAAAAAAAATTGCTGTGGATGTAGCTCGGTGGTTGAGTACCCCTGGGTTCAATCCCTGGTAGCAGAAGGTCAGGTTACTTCTTGTATAAAACGGTAATCTGTTTTACATCTATGGTTAACTAACTTGGTGTACACCTGCTTGAGTATAACAATCAGAGAAACAAAAAATTCCTCATCCCTCTTCTTATATTTTGGTATTTATTAAGAATATTCTTATTGTCTTGGGCATTATTATTGAACAAATAATTCTTTCAAACCATAGAGATCATACTTATGACTATTTAACCCTTTAATCAATTATGTTGCAGAACCAGATTGGTAGGATGGTTAGCATTTGGTGATTAATCCATCCACCCATTCACTCATTTTACAATTATTTACTGAGTGCCTATACCATGGCAAGCACTATATAGCACTGAACAAAGTAGGCATAGTCCTTGCCCAACAGTTTACATTCTAATCATGAGATAATAAACAAATTATTAATAATATGATTTTATATTATGACAAACATTTAAAAGAAAATAAAATAGGATAATGAGATCAAGGTTAGAAAATTGCTTATTGTATGACAATTTAATAATATATTGGCTTTTCTAAGATTTTGGGCATGAATCCAGGAAAAACTAGTCAATGTTTTAAAAAATTATATTGCTTGACTTCTTTCTAAAATAACCTTTGTGGCCAGGCACAGAGACACATGCCTGTAATCCCAGTCATTTAGGAGGCTAGGACAGGAGGATTGCAAATTCAAGATCAGCATTAGCCGCTTAACAAGACTCTTTCTCAAAATTTAAAAATTAAAAAAGGGATGGGGATATAGCTCAGTGGTAGAGCGCCCTTGGGTTCAATCCCCTGGACCAAAAATTAAAATAATAAATAAATAAAATAAAATAAGTTTTTTTTTTTCCTCCCCTGGTCAGAAACTAGACTAGACTCAGATATGCTCTGCCCAGACTCCTTGAAGAAAGTCTTCCTGCTCCACCTGCACTGGAGAGCTGGTGGCAATGGTCTTAGGTTGTCAGCCCCTCAGGCATCATGTCAGCTGCAGAGCAAACTTGCCCAAGAGCACAACCTTTCCAGCTGCCCATGTGCAATGACTGATGGAGGCTGTGGCATCTGGACCTGGCCATTCCTCCAGCCAGTGCTAACTGTGGGGTGGGCGGAGGTGTCCAGCAGACCTGCATCTACTGCAGTCCTCTCCCTCCCACAGGTGTTCATCCAAGGGGAACTTCCATTTTTATTTATTTTTGTGGTTCTAGGAATTGAACCCAGGGGTGCTCTAGCACTGAGCCACATCTCCAACTCTTTTGATTTTTTATTCTGAGATAGGGTCTTGCTAAATTGCCAGGCTGGCTTCCAACTTGCAATCCTCCTACCTCAGCCTCTGGACTTGCTGGGATTATAGGCTTGTGCTACTGTGCCTGGCTCCTATTTTTTTCTTTTTAATTGGTGCAGTATGATTACACATAATGGTGGAATTTGTTGTTACGTATTTGCACATCCACACAGTATGACAATGTAATTCGGTCAGTTTGTTTCCCATCACCTCCCCTTTCCCTCCCCTGTTCCTCTCCCTCTACTGATCTCCCTTCTGTTTTCATAAGACCCCCCACATACTGCCTCCACACACCTTTCCCACTTTTTTTCTCTACCTTCCACATATGACAGAAAACACAGGACTCTTAGCTTTCTGAGGAAAACTTCCTCATTTAAAGAAAATCTAGCAGGGCTATGCTGTCTCATTTCTTCCTGGAGAATCCAACCTAGATCACAGTGTTCCCCACACCTACATGTGACACAGTGGAGCTGCCATCCATCTGTGTGGAGAAGGGTCTGATTGGGCCAGTGGCGTCTAGATCCCTCCTTTCTAGGGAAATTTAATAGATTCCAAGTAGAAAATGGAAGAGAGCAAAGCATACCTGTCCTAGCTGAGGTGTGGTTGAGAACTGCTTTTTTCAGGATTATAAGAATAGAAGCACAGAATTCTAGACCTAGAACGAATCTCTGAAATCATGCAGAATAAATCTTAATTTCTCAGTTGGAAAAACTGAAGCCCAGAGAGGGTTGGGACTTGTCCAAAATAAAATACAACTAGGAGTGGCAGAAAGAACCGGAAACTAGTTTCTTTATTCCTATAGTCTGATACACAGAATTTTCTACTGAGAGTTTAAGATCCTATTTCATTTATGTTCTCCAATTTTAGGAACTTGAATAGATTAATAAATATAAACTTTCTGAATAATTTTGCACTTTTATTATTTTTAAAGATAACATGTTTTGGGGCTGTGGCTGTAGCTCAGTGGTAGAGCGCTTGCCTAGCATGGGTGAGGTACTGGGTTCAGCCTCAGCACCACATAAAAATAAATAAATATGTCCATCTACAACTAAAAAACTAAAAAGCTCAGGTAGTAGGACTAAATAGATGCTATGCACAGAAAGCACATTTGACATTAAGTTTTTGCATATTATAATAAAAATTTTTCTAGCCTACTTGTATTTCAAAGTTAACCCATTCAACCTTTTATTTGCAAATGTTTCAATTCCATGGAACTACAATTTCCTTATATATTTCATAATAAAATAGAAATACATTACATGAAAGTTGTCCTGACCATTTTTTGGGTGTATGTGTGTATCAAATGCAATTATGTACTATCTCCAATGATAAAGCGTACCTATTCTTCTTCAGTGATCACATCAGAGAGAGAAAAGTATTGAAAGAGCTGCATTATCACAAGGTATCTCTATAATAGCATGCTAAAATTAAAATTAAAATCCCCAAAGAATTCCAGGTCAGGGCCTTCTTTCTTGTTCCTCACCAGGGGTATCTTTTCCCAATTTGGGGGTCCTATCTGAGAGGTTCAGGAGTAAAAAGATATATTCCACTTGCCCTTCTTTGGCTCCCCGTACTCATGGAGCTCCACAGGTAACAGAAAGGAGAGAGCCAGACCTGTAAATGCCCATGATGGCTCCCTCCAGAAACAGCCTAGGAAACCTTTCCTACTCCTCAAATACATGACTACTTGCCCATGTTCAATGGCAGCTACGGCAATGCTGAGCCTAGCGGCTTTCTGTACTCCCGATATCACTTCTTTCCTTAAACTTCCATGGTTCCTGATAATCCGGGTCCCTGCTGTCTCCCCCAGCTTGCTGTCCACCTCAATTCCCCAGGCTTTAATGTCTCTGGCCTTTCCCCTCTTCGGGGGACATGCAGTACTCCTTTTGTCTGAGGGCCTTTGGACTTGTTGCTTTCTGACTTAGCCCAGTGTATCCCCCCAAGGTCACTAGCTTCTGCTTGTCTTTCAGGTTCAAGATTAAATTTTCTTGTCAGGTGGCTTTTCAGTATTTCTCTCTAGATTAAGGCCTACTTTTTTGGGGGTATATGTGTGCATCAAATGCAACTGTGTACTATCTCCGATGATAAAGTGTACCTATTCTTCTTCAGTGATCAGAAGAGAGAAAGTATTGAAAGAGCTGCATTATCACAAGGTAGCTCTATAGTAGCATGCTAAAATTAAAATTAAAATCCCCAAAGAATTCCAGGCCAGGGCCTTCTATCTTGTTACCACACCAGGAGTATCTTTTCCCAATCTGGGGTTCTATCTGAGAGGTTCTGGAGTAAAAAGATACATTCCACTTGCAAATTTCTTAAAAATGTTATATCGTTCTTCGTGGGATTATTTGTTTTATCTCCCCTACAGATGACAAGCTCCATGAAGACGTCTTAACTATTTTAACTTCCCTGTATCCGTAGGTCTACCATGGTTCCTTGCACATAGTAAAGGTTCCCACCTGTATTTGTTGAGTAAATGATTATCAGTTCTAGAAAATAAACATGCATCCCTCCACCGTTCATGACCAGGCACCATTGTACTCCCTCCTGCCCTCTACCCTTCCCCAGTTTCCTTTTAATCCCAAGAAAAAAGCAGAAATGAGAGAAGTCTAAGTGAAAAAATAACATTAAACATGTTTTTTCATGGAATTAGAATGATCACTGCAATTCATTAAACCAAGTATATACATTCCTCACGTATCCCTAACAAGAAAAAAGTTACAAGAGATTCTTTTCTATAATACCATGCTATAGGCTGCTTACCCAAAAAGTCTCTCAAAACACTGTTGGAGAATTTAGTTAATTATTGACAATTCTATAAAATACTATACAGAACTGCTTTGAAATTTGCTTAAAATTTAAAAATTTTTTTTTCATAAAGAATGTCATCTTTTCGGCTGAGGCTATAGCTCAGTGATAAAGCACTTGCCTCGCAGGTGTGAGGAACTGGGTTCAATCCTCAGCACCACATAAAAATAAATAAAGATACTTGTGTTCATATACAACTAAATAAATATATTAAAAAAAGAATGTCACCTTTAAAACACTCATACAAAAGGAGACTATTTAATTGGGAATGTAAACCAAAATTAAAAAAACAGAAATATTTGTTCCAAAGTCAGAATATTTAAGCTGGCAGGAAGCTAGCCTTAGAAATATGAGTAATAAATTCAAGAAACAGAAGAGTAGAACCCTTTTTAAAACAGATGGCCTGGGGCACCACCAACAGGTCATACCTGGGAAGCTTTGATGGTATGCAGCAGGAAGGTCACTGGTTTAGCGAAGGACGTCCTGGATTTGTTGATGTTTAGAGTTATGGATTTATTTTCCTTTATTTATTGATGCTGGTGGACATCAGAGCAGTAAGAGAGGAAGAGGTAGAAATAGCAGAGACAGAGCCCACATAGTCCTTCAGTATCCTTTTACTAAAGTCAGAAGACTCTCAAGTGCTAGGTTTAGCCCCACATTTCAGTTGCAAAAGGGAACTGACCAGACAAGCCCGGTGTCTGAGCCACTTTTGTGTGAGTGATAAAGCCGGTGCAGAGGACACTCCCAGGAAACCCACCTTCTTGTGCAGCATAGAGGAGCTGGAATTCACTGTGCTTTCCTCCTCGTGCATCATGACGAGTTCCGAGCTGCTCTCATCCATGACCTCCTGCATGCTGTTCACACTGCTGCTCTGGCTGCCAGTGCTCACCGACATGCTTGGAATGGAGTGGTTGCTTCCCAGGCTGTCCACTTCCCTGTTCAGATTGGTCCCATGTTCGTTGTCCTATAAAAATGGGGCATCAGGGTTAAAAAAAAAAAATAACTGTAGACCAAGCTGAAATCCATGACTAAGCTCTGAAGCATGCTCCATCCTGCAGTGCCAATTCGCTTTTCTGCCAGTCTCCAAAGATAAACACTCTGGGTCTTGGTTCCATTAGTCCCCCACCATTTTAATGTGGGAGGGTGCTGAATGAAGGGGCGCTTTGCCACGGAGCAACATCCTCAACCTTTTTATTTTCAAACAGGGTCTTGCTAATTGCTGAGGCTGGCCTCAAACTTTCAATCCTCCTGCCTCAGCCTCCTGAGTCGCTGGGATTACAGGTATGCGCCAGGTCGCTTTTCCAGACATTTCAAATTCACTCTACGCTTTCCCCGGGGGCTATTGTAGACATGGGATAGAAGATTCCAAAGGCTTCCATCCCCGAGTTTTCCCCTGTCACACACATCTGCTGTCAGATTGCTACACTAAGCAGAATCTCTCTGGGTCTGTAATAAGAGATCTTTGGAACATCATGGTGCTAGAGAGAGACTGCTGGCCACCAAACACGTAGGACATCTGCAAATAGGGCAGTGGTCATCTGAAACTGAAATAGAGTGGTAAGAGTTTTTCAGCAATGTGACAAGCAATATGCTCCTCTGCAAGTCATTATTGAGTAACTTTATATCTAAGCAGGGATATTAATTCTACTGTCCTAGACAGGTAATTAAATTCTGCCTCCCTTAAGCAATCCTATCATGCTTACCTCTGTAATCTTATTAAACATATCTGTTAAATAATATTGATATTTATCACTACTGGTCCAAAGACTACTATTTGAAAAGTGGTAAAATAATCTGAACATATAATTTATCTATCACAGTGGCATATCTTTTGATATAAGATTATATAATGTAATTAAGTGAACTTGGCTACAAATAAACTTTCTTTTCATAGAACCACACTGTACACATATAACTTTAATGAATTGTTACTTAGTCATGGCAATATAAGGAATCACAGGGTAATAAAAAATGATAGATAATAAATTTTTAACAGATTTATTTTCCCAATTAAAGGGGATCATTTCTATGTATGTAAACAAGAGATTTGTATAGCTCAAATGTCATTTTCTGGGTTTCATTTTTATGATTATTGGTAAAATAAGTTAATTTTTTATATATTAAAAAGCTAAATTCATTCATCCTTCCTTCCCTTTTATTTAGTTTTAGAGGTAAAGGAGTTCTTTCTTTCTCTCTTTCTTTAATTGAACTTAGGCCTCACAAATGCTAGATAAGTGCTCTACCACTGAGCTACCTCCTCAGCCCTTTTTAGTTTTTATTTTGACGCAGGGTGTTCCTAAAGTTGCTGAGGTTGGCCTTGAACTTATGATCCTCCTGCCGCCTGAGTCGCTGGGATTACAGGTGTGCACCACCATGCCCATCAGGGTCCTTCTTCTTGTTCAAGGCTAATTCTTGCCGCAATGCACGCAATGCACTCATTTCAACCCATCCCACTTTTTAAGCTGCATCTCCTTCCTTCACCTTCAATGCCTCTGTCCTGGCTCCACGTCCTCTGTACCTGAGGCCTGCCCCATACTTATGAACCTTCTACATGCTGACTACTTCGTACTGATCTTCTTAGCCAAACTTCTGAATCTTAAGATGATGGACTTTTGCTGTCTCCACTTTTTCTCATCTCTCATTTATTCCTAATCTACAATGTGTCCTACCTAGTCCTGTAAAATTGCTTTTATTAAGGTCATCAAGGATGCCCTAATTGTAAAGCCTGGTTCATATATTTTATTTATATATATGTGTGTGTGTGTGTGTGTGTGTGTGTGTAAAATACATCTCCTTGTTTATCCTGACCTCTCTGGCATCTGACAGCATCCCATCTCAGATCTTCTGAAGTTTTTTTTTTTTCAGAAGAGGTCTGCAATGCCTTTATTTCCTGTGACACACAGGCCCTCTTTCCATTCTCCACTCAAGCCTGAGATTCACTGCCATCTGAATGCTCTTGAAGCCCAGCCTGCTCCCCCCTTTCCCAGACCTCTTTCTTGTGCTCCAGGTTCGTATACCCCAAGCATCTGCTGGACATCACTGTTCATGTGTCCCAACCGTCACCACTTTGGCCTTTGAGCAGTTCTTTTCAGGAAAACCAGGAGCTGCCTCTCCTTTGAGAACTTCCTCTATATACCATGTCAGTAGTATATGATGCTGGGGCCTTAAACTCATTAGGCACCACGTTGAAGTCATTCTAAACCCACTCTTTTTTTTTTTTATTTTAATTTTAATTTTGGTACCAGGGACTGAACTCAGGGGCACTCGACCACTGAGCCACATCCCCAGCCCTTTTTATATTTTATTAGAGACAGGGTCTCAGTGAGTTGCTTAGTGCCTCGCCATTGCCAAGGCTGGCTTTGAACCTGCAATCCTCCTGACTCAGCCTCCCGAGTCATTGGGATGACAGGCAAGCGCCACCAAGCCTAGCTCTAAACCTACTCTTTCTCCTTGGTTCTTATTGTCCATTCTTGGTATTGACATCCTTTTAAATAGTTGGGCTCAAGTTCTTAGAGACACCTTAAACTCCTCATCTGTCACTGTCAGTTTCAGTGAGAGGCCATGTGTTGGCAAATCTATCTCTGCGACGTGCTCCTCCCCCTCCTCCATTCCCATTGTCACTGTCCTTACTACCTCTGGCAAGGATTGCTATCTAGGTGGGGTCCAGGTTGCCAGGATAATACTCCTAAAGCTCAAGAAGATAAAAACCTCATGCTAAGGATGGTGGAAGAGGGATACTTGCTTAGGGCGACACTGCTGAGCTGCAGAGAACTGCTCTGCTTATAACACCTCCTCCCCTGAGTCTAAGGTGGCCTAAGCCTATCTGTCAAAACCCACCCACGTCAGGTGCTAGAGGAACCTCCATGAATTCCCTTCAGCAGACCCATCCCATCCCACAAAGGCAGGCTGATACACTCTTTAGCACTTTCCCTAGATGGCCTTCAGAAGAGTTCTTTTAAGAGGGTTTCTTCTGCAATCCCAAATGTCTCTTAAGGGAGCATTTTTATCTTCAAAAGTCTTTCTCACAGTGCCCAGCCCAGAACTTTTGCACATAGTAGGTGCTTTGCCCACTGGAATAAACTGAACCTACTTCTTCATCCTCCTGGGACTCGTTCAAGGGTCCATTTCGTGTCTCTTGGAAAAGGATCTTTTTCATTTTCCGGTACTGGAGGTTATCGAGCTCGCGCACAGCATCTTTTGTTCTCTGTATGAGGTCAATGAGGACACGCGGTGGCCGTTCTCGGCGAACAAAGTCGTGCTGATTGAGGGAGGAGAAAAAAGAAACCGATAATGAAGAAACATTTTTTGGTACAAGATGATGGTATAAAAGTAAACAGAGAAGTATAAAACAAGATGATGGATTTTGCAGAAATAACCAGATATGATTTTCATGTCAGGTACCCTCCCATAAATCTCATGTAGAGATAAGTGTGCTTTTGTCTTCTTCCTCAAGCTCCATTTTGTAGATTTTGACTGAGAGTTTGTATAAGAAGTCTTCTTTTTGTTATACAGATTTAAGACATGCAAAGAGGTGTTTTGGTATACATAGACACAGCAAAATGATAACGACAGTGAAGTCAATGAGCATGTCCATCCACCTCATATCACTTTTGTGTGTTTTGTGTGCAGCAAAGTACCTTAAATCTACTGCCTGAGCAAATTTCCAGGATGAAATTATAAAACAGTATTATCATCTATAGTCTTAATGTTGCACTTTGGCTCTCTACACGCATTAACTGCAAGTTTGTAACTTTTGATCTCATCTCCCCATTCTCCAGCCCTGCAACCACTTTTCTACTCTGTTTCTACAAAACATTTCTTTTATTTAGATTCTATGCTTAAGAGAATTCCTGCAGTATTTTTCTTTTTGTATCTGGCTTTCTTTTTACCCTTAGCATGATGTTCTCTAGATTCATCTATGTTGTTGCGAACAGTAGGCTCTCCTTTGTTAAGGCTGAAAAATGTGTATGTGTATGTGTGTTTGTGTGTATGTGTGTTTGTGTGTATGTGTGTGTGTGTGTACACACCACAGTTTCTTTATTCTTTCATCCACTGATGGACGCTTAAGTTGTTTCCTGATTTGGGCTATTGTGGCTCATGCTGAGAGGAACGTGGGGCTGTACATATCTTTACCAGATATGATTTCATTTCCTTTAGGTATAGAACCGGAAGACAAATTGCTGGATGATACGGCAGTTCTACTTTTAATTTTTTGAGGAACCTCTGTGCTGTTCCATCAATCTACATTCCTACCAATAGTGAACAAGGCTTCCCTTTTCTCCACATCCTTGCCAGTCCTTCTTATCTCCTGAGGTTTACTTTATCACATAAGTAACAAAAATTACTAGAACTTCAATAGTAACAGAGAGGTTTGTACCTTTTAAACCTGAAACAATATAATAAGCAAGAGCAGAGCAAAGCAGAGCCTATTCTTGCTGATAATTTGCCTCGATCCTCCTCTCCACCACACACTATCTTTTGTAAAACAGAGTTGTGCATATTTTGTTTTCTGCTCCTGGGGTCACATTATATATGCTTGAAAATATGGCAGCTGTTCAGTCTATCTAGAGGTCAGATTTCTGGCAACTTCATTTCCCCATGCAGATATAAAAGCAGAAATGAGGGGAAAGCCTCTCTGAGGAGGGGAAATAACTGCCCCCACCCCTTCCTTGTAGTCAGAGATCACAAGTATGGCCAATGACACACAGGCAGAAGCCGATGAGGAAGGTTTTGTTTTCTAGAATAAAAAGTCAAGGCACATAAGAAGAGGTTTTACCCTTTGTCTTTTCCCGTAATTCTTGCCTAGACTAAAGACTTGAGTTCTAGACATGTAGCAGTCATTTGGTGACAAGGAAGATAAAAGCCACATGCTAAGGATGGTGGAATAGGAAGACATGCTTAGGTTAACGGTGACCGTGCTGAGCTGCCCGAAGACCTGCACTCCTTTCCTACTTAAATTAAACCCTTACCTGTTTAAAGCTTTTGAAGACACTTGACATGTTAAAAATACCTTACTGCCTCTTGGATAAAGTCTGGCCTTGTATAGCTGGGTTCCTGCTTGTATTCTGAGGTTTAATTCTGGCCTCATGCTACGCATTTTCCATCTCTATGCCTTTGATCATCTTTTTTGCCAACAATCCCACTTACTCATGGTTTTCTAAACCCATACAATTAAAAGGAACTGAGACCCTCTTAAAAGAATACTTTAGTTTAAATACTATATACCAGTGCTTCACTATTTAAAAATATATGTATATGTAGTGTATGTGTAAATATGTATTTTTATATGTACATATATACATGTTTATGTCACAAAAAGGCTTTTCAAAGGTAAATTGTGTTTTCTTTGATAACTATCAATAAATAATATGAAAGAAAAGTTGTAAAAAAAGAATACTTTAGTTGTTTCTGAAAATAAAGATTCAAATAATATAAAAAACTGCATAAAAGAAAATAAAAATAAATCACTCTAAATTCCATCATCCAAAAATAAATATTGTAAAATTATGGAAATATCATTTTAGAGATCATCCCTCCCTCTTTCTCTCAGAACAATGGCTATCTAGAAATAATTCTGCTTGGAAATCTGACTGTACCTGCTAATTTTAAGTATAATCTGTGAAATTATAATAAATTTGAATTTAACAGAATTAGAAGAGACTGAATTAAAATATTTGCTTAACTTTAGTTATAATCTCTTCGTGAAAAGAATTATCTGTTACTAAAAGATCCTCCAAAGTTAAGGGGAGAAAAGATTACAAAAAATATGTATGTGTACGTAGTGTATGTATAAATATGTATTTTATATGTAGTTACTTTTTTTTAAAACTACATATTTCTATTTGAGAAATATTATTGGCCATCTACTCTCAGAGAGAAAAATTAGTGTACTTATAATTTCCTATTCCTAATTTTCTCAAGTTGCATTATTCTTTTTATATTGCTAATATTTATCATGTCTTTATTCTGTTTTTAAAGCATTTCAATGTTTATACCTGGATTCAACGTGAAAGAAACTTTGTTTTGTTTTGTTTTTTTTTGGTGGCACTGGGGTTTGTACCCAGGGCCTCATGCATGCTAGGCAAGCACTCTACCACTGAACTATATCTCCAATACTAAAAGTGACACTTTTAATGTCAGGAAGAAAATATGAGGAAAAGATGGATTATTGAAAAATATTTGGGAATAACTAGATAGGATAGATAAGAGAGAGAGAGAAAAAAAGAAAAGAAAAAGAAAAAGAAAAAAAAGGCCAGCATGTAAAAATAGAAATAGGAAGGCCAGGTTCCTAGCTACTCAGGAAGCTAAGGCAGTAAGATCACAAGTTTGAGGTCAGCCTTAGCCACTGTGCTAGACCCTATCTCAAAATAAAAATATAAAAGAGCTGGGTTTGTAACTCAGTGGCAGAGCATTCGCCTGTCATGTACAAGACCCAGGGTTCAAGCCCCAGCACCATATACACATTCTCTCTCTCTCTCTCTCTCTCTCTCTCTCACACACACACACACACATACACACACACGGAGTGGGAAAATAGTAATTTGCAAGGTTCCTATAAAACAGTAAAAACAAAACAAAACACTTAACAACCCAATAGACCAAAAGACAAATGGGCAAAAATGGGCAAAGATCATGGAGAGTTCACAGAAAAGGAAATAAAAATTATTTTCAGTATTTGAAAGATATTTAACCCAACTCCTAATAAGCAACCTCTCTGGAGGACAGTTGGGTAGTACCAATTTAAATTTAAAGTCCATCCATTTAAATTCCCTTTAATGAGCTATTTTACCTCCATGAATTTATTCTTTAGATATCATGATACAGGTGCAAAATGAATATGTGCAAGATGTTCAATGCAGCACAGTTGGTAATAGAAAAGACCAGAGACACCCTTAAACGGGCTGGTTAAATAATTATTGTGGTAGATATGAGAATGATAGATATGGAGCTATTGAAAACAAAGGTAGCTCTGCATGCAATAAAATGGGACAGTATCCTAAATACACTACAAGGTTAAAAAAAAAAGTAGAATGATTTGTATGTTTTACTAACATGTGTAAAAATAAAAAGAATATTAACTTTCATATGTGTGCATTCTCTCTGGAAGGTGAATGTACTAAAATGGGGACGATGGGAAGGAGAATTACTGCTCGAGTCTGCCTTCTGCTACATTTTTACCTTTTGAAATCTGTGTTGCTTATTTAAAATAAAGAATGTACAATCTCTTTAGTCATGCTAAATAAATATTAGGGGGGCAATTTAAATTCCCAGCATTTACCACTGATCCTTTTGCTAGTTTCTCTAGTCCCTACTCCACTCTTTGCTACCTGTCTGCCTCCTTCCCCCCTCCTCATTTCGTCTCTAGATTGGCAGGATTTTGGTACTGTTTGTGCTTCATCTCCAGATCAGCAGGATTGCATTATTGATCAGTTTTGGGGGGATGAAAAGCCCAGAAGGGTTGACTGAGTTTGTGAGACTTGATTATATCAGCTGTCTTTAACACTGAGGAGCACTTTGGCTGGGTCACCAAGTCTTTGTTTTCATTTTCTTTGCCTTAGAATTCTGCAAACATTGTCCTATTATTTTCTAGCTTTGCATGTTCCTGAAGAGGGACGTATTTATGCTCAGGGTTTGATTTACTGAACCCCAAAGACTGGGTCCCTGGTGCCCTGTCTTCAGGACTCTGTTTACACCTCCCAGACAGACCTTACCTAGAACAGTGACTTCTGTCACTCTAGTTCCTTATTCCTGTTTAATTTTTTTCTGCAAAGAATCTATCTGGCATCATATCATTCATATATATGTATATGTATATTTACATGTATATGTACAGATACATATATGAGTATGTATATGTGTGTGTGTGTGTATGTGTGTGTGTGTGCGTGTATGTACATATATTCTTTCTTTATAGAGGATGTATTAGATTTGGTCCACCAAATCAAATAAACACCAAATCAGATCAAAGAAAGATCAGAACATTTATTTCCAGGAAGGATTTCTTCAGGTATATTTAAATATTTTCTCCTTCTTGTGTTTTATTTTCGTTTTCAGAAATATTTGTTGGTATCTCCTAGATCTCCTTAATCTTCCGTATATATTATTTTATCTATAACTACCTTTAGAACCTTTACTTTTTGCATGTAATTTGGTTTTATTACTGAAAACTATCCACCAGTGGAAACATCCTAAGTGGGTTGGTTTACTATATTATATTAGTGCTTAGAATGCTATTTTACCCTCTGTTATGTTTTTTCTCTTCTTTAACTCTTTTATTTCTATCTTTATCTCTGCCTACTTCTGCTTTATATCCTATGACTGTCTGCTTTCCTAAAATTTTATCTTTGAATCTTTGTACTATCTTTCTGGAGTTTTTTATCCTTAATTTTAATATAGCCCCAATATATTTCTTTCCCCCAGCTTAAGTTATCATTTTGTGACATATATATGTATGTAAAATATATATATGTATATATACATATATATATTTTGTACATACATAGAAAAAGATAACTATACCATCTTGTGTTTCTGGTGCTTTCTCTGGTTGCTGTCTTCCCTACAGAAATGCAGAGCTGCAGCTCAGATGGACAAAGCATTTCATGTCTAGAACATGAGCTGGCTCTACCACAAAGCAGAACAAGACCAAGTCCCTGGGCCTGTTGTTTCTGTTACCATATTCTTGTGGTCTGTTACTTACAAGAAGAAAAAACCTACTTTTAGCTGAAAAAAATAGTCAGCTTCAGGTCTATCTCTTTGGGAACACTCAAGGCCAGAAAATAGTAGAATAATATTTACAGAGTTCTAAAAAGAAAAGAAAAGAAAATATAAACCAATAATTTGTGATCCAGCTAGGGTGGTCTTTAATGAAAAAGGCAACTGATATTTTTAAGTTTTATACAATTTAGGTAACACAGTCCTTCTTAGGCATTCTTAAAAAAAACCAACAAGCAAACAACAACAAAAAACCCACTCAGTACCAAAATCCAGTCAATGTAGAGATGAAACAAACAAGAGTTAAAAATACACATTCAGAAAAAGGTTAGACACCTGGGTCATTCTGTGCCAAATAAAGGATATTTATATTGTAAAAGATTCCCACATGCTTTGCTGATTGATGTCCATGAACCAGTGTGGCCGCTGTACAAAGTCTATAGCACAATGTTACACAAAATGGACACATAAAACTGTGATGTTCACTTCCAATAAAGGCAGTGCTGTGAAACTACTGTCACTGAGTGCATGACATGATACTATGTAAACTTGAGCTTTGTATAGTTATCATGCATCTCCACTGCCTCAAGATGTGGCAACAAACTAACTCGAAATTGCTGAGCTAGCATGTGACCCATCAGCAGACTGTCCTGAGGACACCGCATTTAAGTTCCACTAAAGGGCAGATGTCAGTCGTCAGAGCTTTACGAGGATGACCAGAACAAGAAGAGGAAATACTCTTTATCATAAAGCAATAAAGGAGGTGGAGTGAGAAAGAAAGGGGCATGATGGGAAAAAAACTATCCACAGGAAACAAACAGTGCACACACCGTGATAATCCTGCCGTTTCTATGCCTCCTGCTCTCTCTGGGTAAATGTTGAGGCAGCATGCTCTAAGCCAGTGTGTCACCATGAGCTGCCAGGAGAATGATTTGCCATGTTCCCCCACAACAGCACTTTAAAGCCCCCTCCTCAAATATAAATTTGAAAAATTACCCGTAATAGTTCCGCTGATGTTGGCCTTTCCTGAGGTATTTTCTGCAAGCAGTAATCAACAAATCTTCTAAAGGAGTCTGTCCTGTGTGCAAATACATCAAAAGAAGATAAAATGAGGGTCTGTAGAGCCCTTGGATCACCTAAAACAATTTTTATTCAAGGGAAGATTTTATATCTTAGAAGATTTTTTAAAAAATCAAATATTTTGGAATATCAGTAGCATTGAACTATTTTTAGGTTTATGGTAACAAAAAATTCATTCTTTTGCGTAATAAGCGTGGACAGTTTCCAGTTAGTTAACATATACATACATCTTTACATTTAAAGAAATAAGGTCAGGTCACGATATAATAATATATCAGAAAACTAAAAATACTATCTTCTATGTTAATTTAATATCCATTTTTCTCCTCATTGTGTTAAGCCTGTAGTCTTTGTTGCCTATTAACTCCTCCACCACCCATGACATGTGACTTGCTGTGTAAGGGACAGAGAAGCCAGGAACATGCTTTCTGAATAAGAATACTTCCTACTTTGAATGGTCCACTTTGTCTACTCTTCCTTAAAATGGCCAGTTTTCTGTAATTCTTGTGGCCCCCAAAATGTTACACTTTGTTATATTTTGAGTGGACAGTATATTCTCTGCCCCCAAACATTTAAATATACATACAGGGGGGAAAAAAAGACAACTGGAAAAATAATGACATCAGCGGGGGCACTTTATCTCTGCTGACAAGTGATAAGAGATGAGATGATCAATACCAGACGTCAGGACCTGAGTGACTAGACTGGCCAGGAAGGCAGCTGGGTGAGTTCCTGGGGGGATTTCAGTCACTGCACACAGTAAGAAAGAACACAGTCAAAGGGCTGGAGTTGTGGCTCAGTGGCAGGGCACTCGCTTCGCACATGTGAGGCACTGAGTTCCATCTTCAACACCACATAAAAATAAATCAACAAAATAAAGATATTGCATCTATATATAACTAAAAAATAAAAAAAATAAGAACACAGTCGAGCCAAGGAGAAGCAGAAACTCTATGTGTTTGCATGTGCACACACACATGTGTGCATAGACAGCTGTTGCTCATGAGGTATTTGTGTTACTCTAACACACAATGGAGGAATAAAATGCTTTCTAGGTCAGATATTCAAAATATCATTTAATTAAAGTGTCAAATACCTATGGAGACCTTCTTAGAGATGGGAGATGGTAGCAGTGTCTTACCATTCGCTGGACTGTAGCGTTGGGGAGTCGTTCTGGGCAATGTGATATAAGGCACTCATTGCATTCATATTGAAAAGCGGGGGCTTCCGTTCCGCTGGAAGAGGAAACAACCATAGTTAGGCAGTTCTCGAAAGAAGTCAGGCAGACAGTGAACTAGGGAGCAATGCTCTGCAGCTATATTGATAGCTCGTTACTGTCATCATGCCATGTAAACCACTTATTTTAATTTCTAAGGTCAGTCCAGGATAGCCATTCAGAAGCTCCTGGTCATTTAACATACATTGGCCATGTTTCTCACAGAACCCACTTCAAAAGAATAAAAGAACAATTCCTTATGTTTTTCAAGAATATTCAAAAGACGGACCTTTGCCTGTTTCCCTATTAGGAGTATGAACATCTTTGCATGTATGTGAATTTAAAAATATGTACGTGTTTTAAAAATTCAGAAAGCAAAGTAGAATAAAGAAAAAATACCATTATTACAGAATGGAACATTTTAAACATCACTAAAAGCACAGAAGAAAATTCTATTCAATGAATACTGTTTGGTAGCTCATCCAGGTCAAAAACCAAATGGGGGAGGGCTAGAGGGAGATTTGAAAAGAAGAGAAGAATAGATAATAAATCAGGGCTTGTCCATCCCTTCGTAAAGAGAAACTCAAGAAGATAGATATTTCTTTTTCTTTGCAGAGCAGGGGATTGAACCTAGGGTCTGGCACATGTTAAGCACACCCTATGCCACTGACCTACACCGACAGCTGGAGGTATTTCTTTCTAGAGCATTCACCCCACCTTAGTGGAGTATAAGACAACTTTAGGCTCTTCCTTGATATGCACATTTAGCACATGTTCACCTATTATTTACATAAACACACAAATCTTTCTTCTCTAAAGAAATCACGTGCTCCAAGAGAGCACAATCTTATAACCTGAATTCTTTTATTCTCTTAGAATATGTAATAAAATGCTATTCACATATCAGGTGCTCTACTCATTGACCAAGGTAAAGAAATAGAACTTTAGTTCTGAGCACATTTAATTTTATGCTATTTATTAGTTATTATGGCATAGAAGATAAATCACCACCTTATACCACCATGCTTACCCTAATGGATTTTTTTAATACAGTCCTACTTTCTAATTCATAATCTAATCTCTGGTTTCACGTGAGCATCTTAATTTTGAGATTAATCACTTCTAAAATGACAAATTGGGCTTATCCTATGCAGGTTTAAGAAACTGAACAAGAACTAAGGAGAGGCCTGGCAGGGAGGCACACGCCTGTAATCCCAGCAGCTTGGAAGGCTGAGGCAGGAGAATGGAAAGTTCAAAGCCAGCCTCAGTAACTGTGAGGCGCTAAGCAACTCAGTGAGGCCCTGTCTCTGAATAAAATACAAAATAGGGCTGGGGATGAGGCTCAGTGTTCGAGAACCCCTGAGTTCAATCCCTGGTAGCAAAAAAAATAAAAATAAATAAATAAATAAATAAATGGAGTTATTTTCACTCAGAGGAATAAGAATCTGTAAAAGGCAGAATGGTTAAAAAATAACACCCAACACCAGGATGGACAACATTGAGAAACAGTGGATTCTAGTCACTGGTAGCACTTGGGTAGAAGCAGACTGCATTGTTCACCTGTGACATTTGGGAGGGATCTCTGACAGTCTTCATTAAAAGATCTCTGTAGAGATCTCTGGAATGTGATAGTCTACGATTCTATGAATTTCTTTTTTCTGTCCACAGAATATTGTTTACACTCACACCAAATAGATACTGGCACATTAGGGACAGAATAGTTAACAAATGGAAACTTGAAAGTTGCAGTGTGGATGAAGGTTTCAAGTGCAGATGAGAAGACAAACTGGTTCAGAGAGACTAAAAAGATTCTAGAACCTGGCCTTCTGGCAACTTTAACTGTTTTAAAACCATGAGAAACTGGGCGTATTGGGGCATGCCTGTAATCCTACTGACACAGGAAGGGGAGGCAGGAGGATCCCAAGTTCAAGGCCAGCCTGGGCAATTTAGCAGGGCCCTAAGCAACTTACCAAGACCCTGTCTCTAAAAAAAATAAATAGCTGGGGAAGTGGCTCAGTGGTTATGTGCCCCTGGGTTCAATTCCTGGTATCTAAATCTATAAATAAAATTTTAAAAACCACGTGGAACAAGCTATTCACCATGTAAACATCAAGGAAATCTCATGATTCCTGGGACAATGTCCAAGTCCTGGTACAGAGGCCTTCGTCCTCTGTTCACATGGCCCTGGCTACCTCCAGAGCCTCGTTCTGAGAAGCAACTCATTGCCCTCTGTCTCATGCCATCTTTGACTTCATTGAAAGTACCAACCCCAATCTTTCACAGGGCTGTTTGCTCTGTGTGAGTTCCCTAAAATTCCCTTCATTCCCTAAACTTTATCTGGCTTATTATTTATTAACTTATTGAGATGGAGTCTTACTATGTCGCCTAGACTGGCTTCCAACTCCAGGGCTCTAGTGATCCTCCTGCCTCAGGCTGCCAAGCAGCTGGGACTAAAGGGGTGTGCCTCCACACCCAGCTTGGGCTCATTCTTGGCAATCTTTCAGACTTCATCTTGAATAAAATTTTATTTCCACTAGGTCTTCCATTAGATTTTTGTTGTGGCAAATTATGTTTCCCCTTCCTACCACATATCACAACCCTCATCATTTTTTAATTCTACTTATCGATTTATTTAGGTGCTGGGGATTAAATCCAGGGCCTCACACTTGCAGGGAAGTGCTCTACCACAGAGCTACATCCCCAGCTTGGAATTCTTTATTTAACATGTGTCCTCTTTGCTAAACTTCATGATGGCAGTGATGTGTCTATTATTTCATCATTATATTTCTAGTGCTGAGAATAGCGCCTGGTTACACTTACAGAAGAGCTAGATATCAAAAAGAAAAGGGGATATCATGCACTATTTATTCACACTTTCAATGTAATTTCAACATTAACAGTACAATTTAAAGTACCTTGTCTGCACCTGCAATTTCATTAAACCTCAAACATACAGAAAAACCACTGCAAATAAATGAAGGCAAGGAAAATTGAAGCAAGGAAGAAACTCTGCCCATAAAGAATCCTTGTGCAACAAACAGTCACAAAAATGACTGAGAAGAGACTAAGCCTTGGGGATGTCGCCAGACACTATGTGATGCTTCTCACTAGCAGTAGGACAGGAACCTCTTACTAGCTGGCAAAAGGTCAAAAAACCTTTAGAACATTGAATTGCACAGGAGAAACAGCAGAGAAAGGGGATGAAAGAAAGAAAGGAACGTAGAAATTTAGGAAGAGGATAAGAATAAAACAATAACAAAACTTAGTAGTAATGAGAACAGCAGGAGCTCAGACTGGAGCAGGAATGGGGAGGTCTGTAAGAAGCAAGCCCTCTGCCCATGAACGAAGATAGCCAGCCATATGCTGGTAGAATAAATAACTCTACCAAAGAAGCACTGACTAAAGGTATTCCAGCCACACAGAGCGCCGTGGTCTGGGAAACATTTACTAAATCTGGGCTTTGGAAGGTCTCATCCATGATCAAGCCTAGGAAGGCTAGGTGCACTACATAAATCCTCTGAGCTGTGGTGACAGGACTCATCACTGAGCCAGCATACTAGAGCCAGCATACCAGGGCTGGAAAACTGTGGCCTGTTAGCCAAATTCTGGTAGCAGCTGGTTTTTGAACAGTTTTACTGGAACACAGCCATGCCTGTGCATTAATGTATTGTCTACAGATGCTTTCACCAGTAGTTGTGATGACACTGTGGCCTTCAAAGCCTGAAACACTTGTATTCTGGCTCTTTACAGAGAGCTTATCGCCCCTCCTGTAGATTATGACAGTTGGCTTAGAGAGTCTATAGGAGAAGCAGAATAGGGATTGGGAGCACTTCTGAAGCCACCTTGTGATAAGGAATCCATATTTTCCTAAATGAAAGGAGAGAGTAGAAGCATAAAAAAGGTAAATTAACTATACTAAAAGAAAAAGTAGCAGTTTCTATTGAACTTAAAGACAATGATTACATTTTTATGGCTGCTTCATCTGTGTTATACAAGATCAAGGTTCAGAGAGGTCAGTTCAATGAAGTTTCAGCAAACTACACTGCTTGCCAAGGATCATGCTAAATCTGAGTGACTGGATTGGGCTTTATTTTGAGGGAGATCAAAGGTTGCCTCTCTTTTTAGATAAATACCACTTAAAAAGGCAAAAGGTTTCTTATGAATGAATGTGGTTGACAACCATCACAATTAATGATAATAATAACTGCCACCATTTATTGAGTTCCTGTTCTGGGCACTCACTGCCTTCCATCTATCACATCTATTATTCCTAATTTTTAAAAGAGCCTGACAAAATAAGTTTCATCCTTCCAATTCTCTAACTGAAGAAACCAAGGTTCCTCTAGGCTAAACAGTGAAACCCAGTCACAGAGTAAGTGGCTAAATCAGAATTTCAACCTAGTCCTGTAAGATTCGAAGGTCTGTGGTCCTTTTACTAGGTCACAGTACCTCTTCAATAGCCCTGTTCATTTTATGGATAGATAGTACTAGAATTTCAAAATGAAAAGAAAAAGCAGCAGTTGTAGAAGATTGAGTCTAACTCCATTCCCCCAGGCCATCACAGCACCTGACAGATTAGAATGGCTGTCTGATGAAGATTCCAGGCAAAGAAGCCACAAGCTCCACTTGTTTCTGAGCACAGTTTCTTCAAAGTGGATCTTTGCTGGTGAAGGAAGTGTCTGGAGCATCAAGATTAGTTTCTCTTGAAAAAAAATCTTGAAAAACAGTATCTGGTGACTGGACTTTTTCAATGTCCACGAGTTTTCACAAAAGTCATGCATTTAACTAGCTTTTGATGGATGATGAGTTCAGCAGAAGATGGTTTCTAAAACAGGCTTAAGCATGTAGAGACTCTAAGGCTTGCTCTTCGGAGAGAGGAGCAGTGGCAATGACATTACTATTGTCTGGCTTTGTAATGTGACCTCAGCAATTTGATTTCTAGGTTAGGGTGTTTTTAAAAAATATACACTTACAGAAGAGCTAGATATCAAAAAGAAAAGGGGACATCATGCACTATTT